TTCGCGGAATTTCATTTATCACGGTAGGGTCTAGAACCAATTAACCGTGATAAACGAGGGTTCACTGTATATGGTTTCAGACCTGATGCAATTACTTTATTCGATATTTATGTAGGACAGCTTGTTGAAAGGTGGTTTCAGAATACAAACCATCTCTATCTTTTGAAATAAATAGAAATGTACACTCTTCCTTATGAGTAAGCTGTCAACTTTTAGTGGCTTTGCAGTGTATGGGGAGGCAGTTTGTGACTTGCATAGATTATTTATACCAGAGTCACACTGAGCAGTTTCTTTCTTATAATAAATTATATGTATACTTATTATCTGTTCTAAATTGTGAGGAAGAGTGAACCAGCAGGGGGAGAGGGAAATGGGGCTTAGAGAAGGGCAGGCAGGACAAGCCATGGAAAGGTCCTAAGACAGCAAGTAAATAATACATAGAGACCCACAAGACCTAGAATCGGTCTTTCTGGCCTGTAGAAAAATGGCAAGTCACTTGAAGAGATGAGGCATGGTAAGCCAAATCTTCTGTACACAAAAGTATGGGCTTCATCTGACAATCGAGATGTGTAAAGTTACAGACAAGAGAGGAATGGGGTAGTTTTAGACTTTCCGTGATAGCATTATAGAAACTAGATTTTCTTCATTGGGTTTATTGAAACATTGGAAATTAAAGTGAAAACATATATCCATACTATCTGAACTGGAACTCGAACCTGTGTCACCTTGGCATGAAACTAGACCATGCCAATAGAGTTCCTTCTTGAGTTGACCTCCAGTTGAGCTGGGTGTAGAAGAGGGATGATGTAACACCAGCAGTTGCTTCTTGGAACTCATTAACTTTTAAGGTCAATATGTTTGGTATAAGAGTTAGTAAGACTGCTAGCAACAATAGTATTAGAAGAATCAATGTAAGAGATAAGCAGTGTGTTCCATTGGCTACTGAAGCAATGATGGTAAGACAAGGAGCCACACAGAGACCTTGCTCAAAGGATAACTCCATTCTAGGAATTTACACAAACAAGTAGTACAGCCTTCCCTGTTGGTCCTACCCTTAGTTTTCTCCCCTTGAAGGTAGAATATTGCTCTGAGTCTGATGGGAGCCGGTGCCACGGGCCTCCCCAGTGAAGTATTTCCTACCACTGTGTACTTGGACTTGTGTCTCCTAATTTACCAAGGTGTGTTTTACGAATAAGGAAAGAAAACCTAACTCCTAAACATCTTATCACTTGGCCCTGTTATAGTATTTTTAAAGTCTTGAATCATGTTTTATTCTTTAATGAACGTGTCTACAATTGCTCATTATATTTTCCCATGTATCTGTGGTAATTTGAGTATACTTTATAAATAGACAAAATATTTCATCTGCAAATAAGTTTGACTATTGTATAAAGAAAGGCTAAACAAGCACATAAGTATTCTCATGGGAGTAAAACAAATCTGACAAAAATATCCCCGAGGTAATTAAGTAACTGTCTTTAAGCCTAAATGTATTCACATCCTGATTTTAACTGTTAAAATTAGGATCATTCTGTTAGAATTAGAATCATGGTGACCAAATTACTCTGGATGGGGAGAGTGAGGCACTTGGGCTACCCTGACTGTGGAAGACTGAGCAACTCTCCCGTGTGAGTGGCCGATGGCAGTGGCACGGTGTTCTCCTGAGGTGACCTGGGGAAGACAGTGGTGGCAGGTGACCTCAGCAGGAATAAACCAAAACCCATTGCTTTTGAGTCAGTTTCAACACTGCAAGACAGAGCAGAATTGCTGCATAGGATTCTGAGGCTGTACATCTTTACAGGAGCAGCCTTCTGAGGGTTTTGAGCCAGCAGCCCAAGAAATAATCTATTACTGAAACTGCTACCAGCAGAAGTTCTGGAAGATCTTTCTCTAAAAAGAAATCCTTAAAAATAAAATGTTTGTATTTGTAATACAGTAGGGAAAAAATTCCCAACTTCAAAGTCTGAATGGCAGCTCTGAGGTCAGTCGCCAGAAGACTTGGGCTCATTCCTTTCAGAGCTGAAGAGGGTTTGAGCCTGTCACTGTGGGGATTCCAGGTAGTGTTGGAATACCACTGGCTTCAGTCAAACTCCATGCAGTTCATGAATGCAAAGACGATTTCTTAACTGCCTGCTGGATGATTCGATGAGTCATACCTCACTACTTAGTGAGATTTTGGCACACAGTAGTTACTCAATATTTATTTTAAAAACAATAAGCTAACACATACATAAGGTATAAACTTTTCTTCACACCACCCTCTGGGAGGGCACAGGTGGTCATTTGAATCAGAATAAGCTACTTAGGCTGGAGGGGTGGGGTGGGGGTTGGGGGCACAGCCATTGAGTGATCTGCTGAAGTTACAGTTTAAGCTCCAGGGTCTCAGAGGGTGCCTTGCATTGCTGCCTCTCATGGGGACATGGGGACGGATGGAGGACTTCCCAGCGAGAGCTGGAGGATGCTCTATAGAAGGCAGTGTGCAACCTATCCATCTTGCAACAACCAGGCCTCCCACCCATGAACATGAGCCCCCATCCCCCATGAGAAGACATCAAGAAAGCATAAGGAGCTACACAGGTGCCGGTCATCTCACATGGAATCCCAGGGACCCAGGCGCCTGATTGCCTCCACTCAGGGCGCCCACTCACATGGACCAGCTGAAGCTAGGCCAAACCCTATGATCCCATGTTCTCCTAGCGGGACAGTCCTGGTTTTTGACAATTTTTCCCACGTCCTGTGTCGTTTATAAAAAGTCCTGATTTTTGGAAAGAATGCACAACAAGCTAGGGTATACGGTTTTTGGCTGCCATGTGGCTATTTCGCCAGGATATGAGTTTTATCAATGGTGTCTCGCTTTACCAATGTTGAAATCTGGTCACCTTACCCTAGTCCCAAGAGCAACCCACATTCAGGGCACTGGGTATCACTGCCTTGGCCTCTGCCCTGTGTGGCCATCCAGGATGTCTGGACAGCATCTTGTCACTGCCAGCCCCACTGCAGGACACATGTAGTTCTGTGTTCCCCCCTCTGACCCTCCTCACTCCCCCAGTGCCTTGGAGAGGCTTTGCCCCTTTGTCTTGCTGAGTAGTGGAATATTATGTAATGTCCTTGTGTCTGTGGGTTCTGCCCATCAGAGACCCTAACAGGGACCTTAGCACTCATCATTGCCAGGTGTGCATCATTAATATGCAAAATAATAAGAGAGGAAGTCTTTTAAATAGCTGATAACAGTAGAAGGAGTACGTGTACATGCAGGGAGATCATTTAGAAAACTATTGCAACAATCCAGTGGCTAGTGCTAAAACAACTAAGAAATGTAGAGAAAGATTGTAAAAAACAAAAAGACTAGACTGTTTCACTTAAAATATTATCTTGGTATTACTATTGATTCACTTGTGTAAAATGTAATAATGGTCTAAAGATATTAGAGTATTTAGCCCAAAACATACTAAGGATTTCATTACATTAACTTGTAAATTGTGCATTTTGCTTTGCTTGTCATTTCAATAGAGTACTCATTTGGGAAGATGGTAGCTTGGAAATAAATAACATCACCAGGAATGATGGAGGCGTCTACACATGCTTTGCAGAAAATAATCGCGGGAAAGCTAATAGCACCGGCACTCTTGTTATCACAAGTAAGAAACCATTTGACTCATACTGTTTTGTTATGTTTTAATTGATAGTATTTAATTTCTGATGTTCTATACGACCTGTGAATCACCCTTATGTCTTTAAGTATTACGTGTATCAATAAGTTTCCTTTAAAAAAAAATCCCTTGTGCCAATCTCTTGCTTGATGAAATCATGCCTGGAGTTCTGAGTTGAAGATATCCTTTCCTTGGCAAAGAAAGAAAAGCACTGATTTTATCATTTCCGTGTAGCAGTTAAATGGTGTCTCATCTTTTCTTGAACTGTCTTTACTCCTCTATTTAAAAATGTGTAGATCCAACGAGAATTATATTGGCGCCAATCAATGCTGATATCACGGTTGGAGAAAATGCCACCATGCAGTGTGCCGCTGCCGCTGACCCTGCCCTGGACCTCACCTTTGTTTGGTCCTTCAATGGCTATGTGATTGATTTTAACAGACATAATATTCACTACCAGCGGAATTTTATGGTATGTCTTTTAAGTTCCATCTTATTAACATCTGATATCGTGTGCATCTGCTGTGTAACTTCTCTTACTATAATCATTGAAAAGAGATTGAAAAGCAGGTTTTAAAAACCTTCGCATGGCCCTCTTGATATTAATTTAGTAATACCACACCTTTTAAAAATTGGGTAACCCTATGTATGGGTTTTGGGTGAAGATATTAATCAATTAATGTTCAGTGACCTTTCGGCACTTTCTCCCCTACCTCGCAATATAATTTTCATATTGCCTTCTACTCTACCTCAGCATATACCATCTCTAGGTTCACTTTCATTTTAAAAAGTAAAAGCATGAAATGTGTACTTTGATATTATGATTACTTTAAAGCATTTGCTTTATTCTTTGGAGGCTAAGGAAATAGACAACGTATGCATGTTGGAAGGCTTGGGAAATTTGTTTGAAGGAGGTTAGAAGGATATGTTTTATTTTAAGAATTGGAAGGCATATACACATAGTACATAGTCATATCAATAACTAAACTCCAGGAATAAACCTCTGGTAAGTAAATCAGGAGCAGGACTATCACTGTACTAGATGCGGTCTAGTGTTACAAGGTATTTAAGAGGCCAATTGATCAACCTTCTTAGTAGTCTTCTCTACTAGGGATGTAATTTTGAAACCTAAGGCATTGTTTAGAGCAGGGCTTCCAAAACTCACTGCCATCAAGTCAATGCCGACCCAAAGCGACCATATGGCACTGGGTAGAACTTCCCATGTAAGTTTCCGCAACTGTAAATCTGTACAGGACTGGAAAGCCCTGTGTTTTTCCCATGGGCGACTGGTGGCTTCAAACTGCTGAACCTCTGGTTAGCAAGCCAATGCTTAACCAAGGCACCCCCAGGGCTCAGAAGCAGAGCTTAGAACTGATTCATTGTGGCACAACCCCCAGGTGGGAATTTGCATTTCCACACCAGCTGCACCGACTTTGAATCTCCATTTAAATTAGGCCTGGTGGCAGAGTTGGGTCAGCAGTTTGAAGCCACCTGTTGCTGCTCTTGAGAAAGATGAGCCTTTCTATACCCGGAGAGTTGCAGACTCTGAAACCCCCAGGGGCAGGTCCCACCTGTCTCACAGGGCTGCTCTAAGTTGGAATGGCCTGGCTGGCCAGGAGTTTGGTTTCTGAATGGACGCATACAAATCAGCTGGGAGTCTCCAGGAACCACTTTGAGATCCTGTAACATGTAGATTCTGGTTTGGTGTTATCTGGAATGGAAGGGTAAATTCTCCCAGGGGTTTGAACCAGAATGATCCAGTTAAAAGCCCCGATTTAGAACATATGGTTAACTAATGAGAAGTGTAGTTTCCGTTTTAGAAGTCAATGACTAACATAGAAGTTGAACATTTTTATTGAACATTGCATTGACTCAGTAGAACATCTCAGATTTTTTTACATCTCTAAATTAAGACTATTGACTTACACATTTGATAGTAATATATGCTTTTACATTTTCCAGCTTGTTTTGTTTTGGTTTTCTCTTCTGGAATTTTTCAATTTAAAAAGCCAAAGCAAGTTTTCAATCAAGTTAAACAAGACTGATTTTAACTACAGGGAAACATGTCTTGTCACACTTTTATAAGTACATGTACCTGAGCAACAGTTGGTGTAATAATCAACGTTCATCTTTCCACATATGAACTGTACTTTTAATTCTTATCTTTTTACTTGGTCTAGATTAACGGTTCTCAACTTGGGGGTTGTGACCCCTTTGGGGGTCTAATGACCTTTTCACAGGGGTTGCCCAATTCATAACAGTAGCAAAATTATAGTTATGAAGTAGCAACAAAAAGAATTTCATGGTTAAGGGTCACTACCACATGAGGAACTGTATTAAAGGGTCACAGCATTAGGAAGGTTGAGAATAACTGTACCAAATACTACCTATTTTTTAATCATTTTAAGAGGGGGGAAATGGGCTAAAAAGAGAGTTGTGTGGGTTTTTTTAAATTGATTTTGGAATTTCTGTCCTTTATACTCACCTTACTTATAAGCTTAATTTCTAAGGTATAACCTGATTTCTAAAGTAGACATGGGTTGATTCTTTTCCATGACAACTGTAGTCCAGACTGAACCAGACCCCCTGACATGAAGTCAATTCTGACTCAAAGCGACCCTGTAGAGCAGAATAAGACTGCCCCTTTTGGTTTACGAGGCTATGCAGCTTTATCAGACATATGAATATCTAGAAATGTTTAAACCTAAAAAAATATTTCAAAGCCAAATTTTGTATTTTCCTACTTAATTTTATCACTGGTTTATTCAATTGTGCTTTGGTTTTGACATGCTGTTCTTGAATGTGGCCACTAAGTGGCAGTAATGCATAAGGTTTCAAATATCACATGCTAGCATACTTGAGACTAGTAACTATAATATTAAATACATACAATTTCCTCTGCTTATCTGTCACCGGTAAGATTGTGGGTGATTTTAAAATTTAAGCTTTGTATGTCTTCCAATTAAAGTCATATGATGATGAGAGATAAAAGTAGCTATACATTATGGAAGATCTGCATTTGCAAATACAGTGAACCCTCGTTTATCGTGGTTAATCAGTTCTGGACCCTACTGTGATAAATGAAATTCCGCAAAGTAGGATTCCTTATTCAAGTGAAATGGCATGCAACCTCCACGATTTTCTTGCCATCTTTGATCATATCCAAAAGTTTTACCTTTTCCTGGAAGGTGAGCATCTTCCTCTGGCAC